GGATGTCACGTCTAACGCGACGCACGATTTTTCAATCACTGGCTGCCATTTGACAAAAAAAAAATAAACGGTTACAAGAGTGGAAGGCTGTGGACTGTACGATAGACGCGAGTAAAAAACTTTTCTAAAACTGGTTATTTCCATGGCAAATCGAGATCACCTTTGGCTTCACCAATAGGAACACACTTTTCAAGCAGCAGAAAGGAGGGAAAGGTCATGGAGTCTTGCTTAGGTCGTAAACTTACTAAAATCGTATTTGAGATTCATTAATAAATATGTGCAACGTTGAACCTCTCGATCGGCTGAAATCTCGACAATATTGTAAAGGGCACCGACGCGAGTTCAAAGCCGGTATTTCTACCGTAATACGAAATATCAGCTGAGACGAATATCTCGATATTCGGCTGCAAGTGGGTGAAAAAATCGTCCGTCGCGTGACAGGTAGCACTCCGTATATAACGGGAAACGCGAGGTTCCGTCGTCTGACGGTTCATCGTTCGGCTAATTCCGCGACGGCGGGCGGCCGATGATCGCGAGACGGAAAGTTTTTCAATTAAACCGATGACGAGGTTCGATACCGTGCGAATCGGCCGGGCGCGCGCCGGTGCTCGAAGAAATTTAATTTTCGAAAAGAGCTGTAAAACCGATCTACAAACGGGCCACGGCAGGATTTCGGCGCGATAGCCGGCTGCTGCGAATTCCGCGGGGGAGCGTAAAACGCGCGTGCGGAGCGTAAAAAATCCATTCGCCAGGCGAGAGGAATTTTTTATGAAATTCGGCGGGCCAAGGGAAACGGAGGCGTTCCATCGGCCGGCAATTTCCCTCCTACGGGGGAAGAGAAGGGGAGACGGAAGCGAGTTCTTGACCGACGCGCGTGCAACGGCGCCGGCTCGTTCGATCGACCGTCGTATCGTTCTGCCCGAAGAAAGGTATCCGCAGCCGGAGAATTCGGGGGTGAGTCCGTCCGTCCGTCCGGCCATGATGCCGAGGATTCGAGGAAAGACGATCGGAATATGCGACGTGAGCAGTAAATAACCGAAACTGCTGACGGCGGACGGCTGATTTAATTCCCGGCGCGGACAAACAGTTTGATTAGCGCGAGTCCGCCGGCCGCGAGCGAGAGGGACACGGAGGCGGGCGAGAGGGGCGCGGTTCATCTCTGTTCTCCCGAGGGGCGGCCGACAGAGGGGGATAGTTCGTTAAATAAAGAGCATAAAACGACGGCACGAGGGAAGCCACAGGGAATAGAATATAAGAGAAGCAGAGCGTAGCCGCGCGCGCTCTAATAGAGGGGCGACCGAGAGCGGAGATGCGAGCGGAACGGAGAAGCGCCGGGAATAAGTAGTCGAGAGGTCAGCGGAGCCGTCGTTCCCCGCTCGCCGGGGATCGGCAACGGGAATCGGCAACGGGCGTCCGGCGAAACCTGTGCTAACCTCTTCCAATCTCGTCCGCGGACGATGCGTCGGCCAGAAAGAAGGTATAAAGAGGGCAAACTCGATTTCGGCTGGCTCGTATCACCGTTCCAGGGGTCGGAGAGATGGAGAGATTCGATAGCGGTCCCAGCATTTCCAACCGTGTTCGTATCAATCGCGATTCATCGGCGCCGGTACGCGATGGACCTCGGTTGACTAGTCGTTCGATGCTGGAGATTGTCGCGAAATCGCTTTGACCTCTTACTTTGTCGTTAATAATTTCTTAGAAAGAGATACTCTAAGCATATGTTATGCCTATATCTTCTTTTAAGTATATTAACTGATTACAGAGGAATAATGCATACTTTGAATTCGAATGAACCGAGTAATATGTAGATTTGTTGAATCATGTTGAAAATCTTCACGAGTCTCACTCGTTGTAGGACAAGGGGTTAAGAGGGCTATTAGTTAAACTGCTTTTAGTTTCTCACTTTGAGGTTCACGTCGACGTTATTCAATTACGGCTTAAGTTACAATCAAGTCGGCGTGCGACGTACGGGTTTCGCTGTTAAAATTAGGAAATAGAAAACGCGTACTCGACAGAGATGAGAGGCAGGGACGGGTGAAGGGTGGACAAGGGTCGAAGAAAGGTGAATGGCCGATATCTCACCTGCATGCTGGTTCACCGACGGTCTCGAAAAACAGGCAGGTACCGCCGTTCATGCAAAAGTCGCCCGCGATCGGGCACGGCTGCTCCTGCCTCGGCCACGCCGCCGTCGCTGCAACAAACCAGAGAAAAATAATCGTCAGCCGGTCGTTCGAAAAACTTTATGCGCATAATTCTCGCCCACGCCCTTCGCGTGTCCCCTCCGCTCGCCGGCCCTCGCCGGCGTTCGCCGCGTGTTCTTTCCGTGCATAAATCGCGCGGCGGTTCGAGCTTTGTTCGCAAGAAAGTGGTGCACTCGCGCGTGCGCGAGCCGCGTTGTGCGGTGTCCGGAGCGAGACCGTGCATTTTCATTTCAATCGCGGCTCTCGCGCCGGGATTAGTCTTTGGTATGCAAATCGCGAGCGGCTGCTAAGAAGGAAACGGCCGCGAACGCGGGACACCGCTGGATTTACGAACAGCTTGAACCGGAGGGTCTTCTTCTCTGGTACACCTTTCGTCCCCCTCGAAGTTCCTCCGGTCGAACGTCGAAGATCGAATCGGACCGTCGGCGGTTGCTCGGAAAACGGAGACGAACGAACTCCGTTTCCCGTGTACCGTCGCTGCGATTCTCAACGGCGAACGCGCGCGAATTTCGCCGCGAACGCATTGTTCCATGCGAGACCGCAATCCCTCACTGTCGTTTGCCGGTGTTCAAGCTGTAATGCATTATGAACCGGGTTACTATCTTGTACCGGCTGCGCCGTAAACATCGATTAATCATTCCGCGATGCGCACCCACCGCGGGAAACATTCTAACGTTGCGCCCCGAGTCTTCCGCGCTGTCGTATCGCTCGGCCGAGCGTCGGCTGGTGGCCGGAAACTCCCGCTAATTGCGGCGCGCTCAATGAGACTGATAGATTTTTAAACGGCTCCCGTTCCGTCAGCAGCCCGCTCGTCGAACTTTTCCCGTTTCCCTCGGCAAACAACGCCGGAGAGCCTGGAACAGGCTAATCGCGGAAATTTCCCGAGCGTCGGGCACGAACGTTCGCCCGTGTCCGTCGGGCGGGTCGCGTTTCCGCGGATGTCCGGCGGTCCGAGCTGGGAACGATGAGATCTCGAAGCAACGGACATGCTCGCGCCGCGATGTATTAAAAATCGTATAACGAGTTTGAAAGCGACTAGGATAGGACGCGCCGGTCCGCCCGGCGGAGCAATAGCGGGACGCGATGAGGCGCGTTGCCGGTCGCGCGATGAGCTCGCGAGCGCGTACACCATTATTACAGTCGGATTAGCACTCGACCATTCCGGTCGGGCCGGTATTACCGAGCGCAGTTCCAACTTCGAAAAGCTCTCGGGTAGCTCGTACGCTCGGCTTTATCCTCCAGCTTTCTCCTCCGCTCCCGTCCCTCCTCGGTTTTTCGCCTCCGCCGCCCCCCGTTCCCTCGCCCCTATCCGCCGCGCGCGTTTCTTCTCGTTAAGTCCCTAACGAGCTGAAGACATTTTCGCGGCGGGAGCCGCTGTTCTTTTTCCCGTCCTATCGGAGAAACGAGAGAGAAAGGGGATAATGAGAGAGAGCCGTCGTCTCGAGCGGAAACGTATCGAGATTTTCATTTTTCCCCCCGAATGCCGCCGCCGGCTTTAGCTATCCGCCGATTCCTATTTAGTCCGCGGCGCCGCGCGTCCCCGAGCTCGCGTCTCTCGTTTCTTCCGCGATTATTTCGCGCGATTGACCCGGGGATATTAGCAGCCGTCCCTAATCGGCGAGTTTGTTCTTTCGCTCGCCGAGCCGAGAAAACCGCGCCCGCCCCCGGAATTACACGAACGCGGATACCGACTTAATTGAAGACCCGGCATCGCTGCGCCGTTGTTTTTCGACGGCGGCCGTCGAATCGCGAAACTTTGATCTCGTTTCCGCCGGGAACACCGGCTTCTTCTTTTTCCACGGCGCCGGGAACGCGTTCTCTCGCAGCAATCTCGCGGGATGCGAAAGTTCGCGCGCGCGGGCGAAACAAGGGTTAACAACGACGCCGAAGGAGAGCGGAAGTTTAAACGAGCTCGAGAATCGAGTTCGAATCGCAGCCGCATCGATTCGGCGACGCGTCCACTTCGCGCGTCCGAATTCGAGCGAAATTTCGGCGGAATTTCGTCTTAGTTTAAATACGTAATCTAAGGAAACATCGTTGGTCGTTGAAACGTACTTAACACTGGAGCTACAGTGCTAGTAAAAACGACTGGTTTAGGTTTCGTTTCTTATTGGTACCTTTGAACCATTGAATATTCACCCTTTGCACTCGAGAGGCGACACCCAGTTGCCTGATGATTTGATACAGCAGAATTATAAACTTTGGTATTTACCATTAACCTTTGTATACTGCATCAATACGTGAAATATTGAAAGAAAGTAATTTTGGTACCTAATTTATGTATTTCTTGTTAAATTCATTTCAAAGAATGTTGTCTACATCTAATTAGAAAGTGTAGAATACATCAAGAGAAAAACTTTCGAGTGCAAATTCTTATACGAATCACATATCAATCTTATCAAATGCTCGGTAGTTCGTGTCAACACTCGAACCAGCAAGGAACATTCGTACCGAACGGGTACGATCGTCGATTGGCCAGTTGGCACGTGGAAATCCGGTAAGAGCAGCTTTCCGATTCCAATATCGTTCGCGGAGCGGTGCACCGCGGCGCGGAATACGCCCGAGCGATTTTTGGAATTACCAAACGTTTCCTGCCGCGATGTTCTGTATCAACGATCTGGGTCGCCGTCTATTCGCGATCGGAAGGTGAAAGAGAATCTTCTCCGGAGACACCCGTATACCTTCTACCCTCTGGTACGCTTCCACGAGTGGGACTCAAAAGCGAGGAAGTGCTTTCGCGATACGAGAAGGGAGGAAAAAAAATTTCGCCGACGCGCGGCTCCGCTCGCGACCCAGATACGAGAGGCGCGTAGATCTTTATAGATTCTCGTTCTCCGCTAGTCTCGCGGATCTACCCCGGCGTTTTCGAGGGAAGGGTGGCGAAGCTAAACGACCCGCCACCTCGAGCCGGGGTGCGCGAATTCCCAGGGCGACGAGATTGTCTCATTAGCGAGGCGCGCGTCGCGCACCGTGCAAAAGCGGCCGGCTACAATAAACAGTTTTAACGCGGACCGCTTTTGACGCGCGGCTGTATTGTTTGGACAACCGTTATCTCTGTCGATGTAACATCAATCGGTGTCTCGCGGGTGCGTTTAGATAGCGGCGGCCGGACCAGTTGTTTCGCGTCCCGCGCGATTTTCCCCGTTGATACGTCAGTTCTCGACGTGTTTACGGTTTTGCACGGAGCTTTTTTCGTTTCCTCCCCCCTCGGCCCCGCGGCCCCGGCGGCCATGCTTTTTTTTCTCGTGGCGCTTTGTTTTGGACATCGATGCCAGCTTTTTGAAAGCCCTCGCGTATTTCAACCGGACCTTTTTTTCCGCGTTTAACTCCGGATCGCCACACGCGCGACGCCGCCGCCGCCGCCGCCGCCGCTGCCGCGCGATTCCCTCGTTGTTACGCGGATTTAACATAGTAATCTCTATTATTTCGCGTTCGAGTGGGAATTCCGAGCGGGCCCGAATCGAGTTTCCCGTTCTTTGTCGCGTGATTTCGACGCGCGACCGTTCGGCGACGCACGAATCGGATTAAAAATATATTACACGGTTATTCGGGCCGACCGGACACGGCCGCGGACAGGAGCGCGCGGGCGTGCGAGCGCCGGCGCGGCACTAATTAAGGCTAACAGGAACTCGGTTTCTTTCCCCGGCGCGGCGACGTGCTCTCGCGTTTCGGCTATGAAACACGAGTCGTTCGTTTTTTCGAGTGCGCCGCGAAAATTGCGGCGAAAACTCGAGGCGGCCTCGCGCGGAAGCCGCCCAAATGATGAAACTTTTAATCTGCTACGCTCTCGGATCCGCGAGTGCGTCCCGGCGAATGAAACAGGAAAAAAATGAGTCCGCCGGGCTGAATTATGCGACCGGTTCTCGTTCGACGTCGCGAGAGGTGTACGATTACGCGCGGGAAAACCGGGAAAGCGATCTACCGTGCCGAGAGTCGCTCGTTTACGGACCGTTCGTGTCGGATCGCGGATCTTTGCGCTTCTATTCCTTTAAATCGACGCTCGACGAGGCTGGGGAACATTAATACCGCTATTCACCGCGTCGCTGTGTACAGTTCGCAACAGGAACCGGATATGAACAATCAGAAACAAAATAGATTGCACTGTTACCGTGAAATGCTTCCTACTCGTGTTGACTCAAAGATCGTCGCCTCTACACTTCGATCGAAAGGTAACTGATATTTTCGTCGGAGAAACGAATTCTGGTATCTGGAGCAGATTCGAATCGACGCCTTCGGACGACGCTAATTCCCCTCGACGCCGTTCGAAAGCAACCGCGAACGTCGCGTAATTATCTCGGATATAATTGCTCGAACGTGTCCGTTCGCGTGCGTAGAGTCCAACTCTCTCTCCGATTTGTCTCTCCGAATATCGCGTTTCGATCGCGTGAGCACGCGAGACGCGGTTTCTCCTCGCAACGTTGGCGATCCGGTAAAGAAACGCAAACCGTTTAGCGCGAAGCCTCCGCGCCCGCGGATACGTTCAAAGCTCACGCTCCGCGAACACTCGAGTTTCGTTTAAAATCGACTGCATCCCCTCGCGGGACCGAAAGGAACCTCCGCTCGCGTTCTCGCCGTTTCAACGAGCTTCCCTCCCTTTGTACTCCGCGTACGTTCGACCGACGCGAGCGAGGGGCTCTCGTAAGCGAATTCATTCCGACGTTTCGCGCGCGGAACGCGATTCCGGCGGGATCGAGGGGAGCGCGGGCGAAATGATTCGGGTTACGTGGTCGCGCCGCGCCGGTGTCCTTTGAGAAGCCGGCGAAAAAAGTCCGCAGGCTACCGGAGAGGTCAGACAAAAATCCGGGCGAGAGCCGGCGCGGAATCTTCGCGCTGCTTCGCGTCCGGAGGAATGAAATTGTAAAGTTTCAAAGGACCCTCCGGGCTTTAAGCACCGCCGACGGTTCTCCGCGTGTGCCCCGCCTCGCGACGCGAGCGAGCGAGGCCGATCCCGCGAACCGACCCGTACGCTCGCTCGCTTCTTTCCTTTGTT